GAGTGACCTCAAGAGCCACATATTGCATTTACTTTTATTCTACTAACTTTATTATTCCCATGGTTTATTTTTTTGTTTGTTTTTCGAGACAGGGTTTCTCTGTGACTTTGGAGGCTGTCCTGGAATTAGCTCTTTACAGACCAGGCTGGTCTCGAACTCAGAGATCCACCTGCCTCTGCCTCCCGAGCGCTGGGATTAAAGGCATGTGCCACCACCGCCTGATCCATGATTTACTTTTAATGCAATTTCTGATATAGATGTGTTTGAGGCTGTTAGCAGACTCGGTTTCTGTTTCATGTTCTCTTTGTCTCTTCATTTGTGACTCTTTTTTAGTTGTTTTGATATTCTTTTTTGTCGTTGTTTTTGGTTTTCGAGACAGGGTTTTTCTGTATTGCTTTGGAGCCTGTTCTGGAACTAGCTCTGTAGACCAGGCTGGCCTCATACTCACAGAGATCCGCCTGCCTCTTCCTCCTGAGTGCTGGGATTAAAGGCGTGTGCCACCAATACCCAGCTTGAAACCTAAAGATAATAGTGAAATAGAGTAATAAAAAAAGCCAAATAAAGATAAAAATGCACAGAGAATCTGGATACTGTGTGTTATTGTGTTGTCCTTGAAGTTTTTGCTAGGGAAGGAGCAAAAGTCCAGTAAGCCAAGAAAACATGGAAATACTTAGATTAATAGAAGTAGGTTAATATTAAGAGAGAGCTAGCCAGTAAGAAGCTTCAGCCATTGGCCAAACAGTTTATAATTAATGTAAGTCTCTGCGTGTTTATTTGGTGCTAAATGACTGTGGGACCAGGTGGGAAACTCCATCTACCTCCTTCCCATTCAACACACTGCTCCCCCCTTTCACTTTCTCAGCCCATCTTCCATCTTTCAACTGTTTCATGTATTGGCTCCACTTCTTTCTGTAGATGGGTATCCTCCAAGCAGTAGGGAAGATGTATTAGTTCAATATTCATCATGGCACTTGAACTAACAAGGTACAATGTGACCAGGAGATTATTATCCTGCTAGGTATTTGAAACCAAAATCTTCTAAGTAGAGAAATACTGAAATGGTGCTATGTGTCTCTACATAAACTGAAATGAGGCAAGAAATGGGTATAAAGGCTCCCAGACACAGAGCCCAAGATCTGGAAGTCACCAGGCAGAAACTCCTACCTATTAGCCAGGTGGTAGTGGAACACATCTTTAAGCCCAGCACTCGGAAGGCAGAGGCAGGTGTATCTCTCTGAGTCTGAGACCAGCCTGGCCTACAGAGTAAGTTCCAGGACAGCCAGGAGTGTTTCACAGAGAAACCCTGTCTCAAAAAACAAAACAAACAAGTAAACAAAATAATAAAAGCTTCGTACCTACAACCCTGAATGTAAAATATAGAGATTGAACATTATCCAAGGTAGCTACAACATTGGTGTGGTGGCAAGTGTAGAGGCTGTAGAATCAGGGCAGCAAACCAGTAGAGATAGTGTTAGCAGATTTCAGAAAAACAAACTGTCTTGCTTCTAACAAGGCTTCTCTGAAGATTCACCCCAGCCTTTCATTTGGCTGCAAGGCTCTAGTAACTTCCTAGTAACTTTGTAAACTTCTAACCAGGGTAACCTATTGTTTAAATGTAAAGAGTTTTCTGTTCATCCTGGTACCACTTTCCTTTAGCCCCCAAATAAACACACAGAGGCTTATATTAATTATAAACATAAGTACATAAGGAAAAAGTACCAGCGTTTTTTAAAAGATTTATTTTAAATTACAAGTGTCTATTTGTGGGTGGTATATACATGGTGCCCTCAGGTCAGAGGTGTCAGATACCCTTGGAGCAGGAGGCACAAGCAACCCTGAGTTGCCCAATGTGGGTGCTGGGAACTAATTTACTCAACCAAGGCTGCATACAGAGTCCAAGAAATATCTACTGAATAAACAAATGGAACTGTAATTGAGTGTTTATGGATAAATCAATAAACTCCATCTCTTCTGTTCAGATTTTTGTATTTATAACTTAGGTCTTGTCTTTTAGATGGCTATTAACCACTTGTAATAAAATGATAACCCTATTGTATCAGTTATCATCAATTAATAAAGTATATTTCCAAACTAAATAATAATTTTCCCAATTTTGCCTTTTTAAAGTCAACCTTCAATGGTCTGTTGGCTAAAACAAAAAGACTGCAACCATTCAGGTAACCATGGCTCATAATTCCTATTTAGGGGTAAGATCCTGCAATTAAATTTTCCTAAATTCCCTATATTCTTACTGGATGTGAGAATTCTGCCTTTGAGTCAGTACTTCTGATTCTGCAGTTGAACTATAATTGAGATTTACTGTCATTGAGTTTTTCTTTGGCCAGATACCCTCTGGGGAAGAGAGGCAAGGGAGATAATGGCCACAGTTTTGCAAGGTATCACTACAACCTGGATACAGTGCCACTCATTTTCCAAGCAGCAACAGATGCTATATTCCTTACAGGTCTTCTTTCAGTACAGTCCTATATATGCTAGCAAATTTAGTTCTAGGTAAACATAGTAGTAATAAGTAGGCCTGACGTGGTGGCCTAATCCTGTATCCCACTACTTGGTGACAGATTTGTCAATTTAACAGCTCTCCCCCAACCCCCCAAGGCTACAAGCACCCTGGTAACTCATTAGTTAAGTTTCCTGATAAAAGTACAGACAAGTGTGCCTTGTTCATAGGCTTCATAGTCCAAAATCAACAGGTTTCAGATGTAACTTCAGAGGTTCAGAGTTTTAAATTTCCTCTGGTTGTTTTCTAAAATATCCATGCCTTTTAACACAGCGCCATAGCTTTTTTTCACTATGACACCAAGATGTAAACTTGTTGTTTTACAGATACCTGCAGGTTCCTGGGAGTTCTGTCACTTTGTCAAGAAATATGGCCTGATGAAAACTTAACAGTTTCCAGAGCCTGTTGACCACTACCCATTTTCAAGTGTATTTTGCAGGTTCACTCATTCTGCCTAGACCAAGGCCAACCCACAGATATGCCAGCTCCTGGAACTTTGCTGTAACATGAAAAATGAAAACCCAGAGACTAATATTGTGGTTCAAGCATCAAGTTGAATATATCAGAGAAGCAAAGCAGCCAGCCACTAGCTCTCACCTCTAGCTCAGGCTGAAAGGGCTGATCCATGCATGAGCCCTTCACTAAGTCTCACACCTCTGCCTCTCCTCAGTGAGGCTGGAGAATGAATGCTCCTATTCTCAGTGTAGCTAGAGAATGAATCCTTTCTGAGACCTTGCTCCCATCTTATACACCGACCTTTCTAGTGCTGGGATTCTTTCTAGTGCTGCTATAAATCTCTTGTAGACTAATTCAGTCTTGGGTAGATCTGGGTGGCCTTGAACTCCGAGAGATATGTCTGTCCCTTAATCCTTAGTTTTAGGATTAAAGGTGTGTGCTACCACCTCCTAGCTTCTGGCTGCTGGGATTAAAGGTGTGTGTCACCACTGCCTGATCTTTGTAGATTGAGGCTGATTTAGCTTTAATAAATCATAATATATGACTACATTTTACCACTGGTACCTCCTTTCCAGACTCAAGCTGGCATCCGCCCAGAAACTGGAACCTGGTTTTCAAGATGTCCCATTAAGGGGCCTATCTCCTCTTACACATCATTCATTCACCCGTGCCTCTTCTGTACAACCAGGGCACTTCTCCGCACCATTCATTCTGGCAGTTATCACCCTTCCGTGGATAGACGGGTTCACAGAACCAATCGGAACAGTCTATTCTTTTCTCCTAGCAACCTACCTTCTCCACCTCCTCAAGTCTCCAAGATGGCAGTTAATCAAATGCTTCTCTACCTTTTCCTGCTGAGTGTGAGCCCACTGACTCCTGACTCCTCCTCCCCACATCGTCCTACGCCAGCAGGAAGTAGACAGAAGTGAATAGGTGTCCATATACCCAAGGAGTCTGGAATGTTCTGGTGGAAGCTGTTATAATCCAGGCAAAGATGGTCCCACCCCTTGGGAATCCGGCACAGTGTGCCAACCGTCTGCGCATAGCAGGGTTCGTACCCCGGTCCTTTATGAAGAAAGCCCCACCCACTTCTCTCTTCTGGTGCTCTCTCCTTATTTCCTTACCTTTCACTGTAAGTCACGTCTACAGGTCTCTGTCTCTCTCCCGTCACAGTCCCGCCACCCGCTGCATTCATCTCGAGCCGTATTCCTAACAGAAGACCCACCCGCGCCTCTGGCTCCCATATACCCAGAGTCTGGGATGATTAGGTGGAAGCCCCACCTCTGTGCCCCCCAGACCCTCCGTCCTCAGAAAACCCGACAGAGGTCCCTCCTGTCAGAAAGCCTGCCAAGAGTTAGCCCTTCCCCAGGGCTCCTGAAGACAACGCCTAAAGGCTACTTAAGACCTGGTCACCACGTTTGCTGTGCGATTTCTCTTCTGCCCTGCTGAGGGTCACCCAGGAGTGCTTTGCTCTGCCCACTAAGCCTGGACTTACTCATTCAGTTTGGCTGGCTTAGTACATCAGAGGCAGCGGATATCCAATAACCAGGGATTCAAAACGTATCACTTAGGGGGCAGGCCGGTAGGTCTCTGAGTTCAAGGCCAGCCTGGAGTTCCAAGGCTGGCAGAGGCACACAGGGAGACGCTGCCTCCAAATACCAGCGAAAGCAGACTCCTTGTGAGCCTACAACCCACACTTCCTCCCACCCACTCCATTCTTTACAACAGCTCCATGAGACGGTGTCACTCTTCCCTCCCAGAGCTAGAGAGCGAACCCATGGGCCACCGGGCTGTCAGACAAACCCAAACCGTCACTACTTCGGACTTTTGCACTCAGACTTCCGGGGGGCGGGGCGTCAGTGCCACGAGCGCCACCTTCCGGCGCCGCCCCCGGATCGGCACCCGCGGGGAAAGCCACCGGCCTCGTCTGCGCCCGGAGCGGAGCTGACTGCGCTGGGCACCCGAGGCCGCTCCACCCCAAGCGTCGGCCCAGAGCGCCCGGGCTACGCGCCGCTCCCGAGCCCGCCCACCCTCTGCGCTCACCGGCCGCTCTAGCCGCGCCCGGCCGTCTCGTTGCTCCCGGCCCGACGTCATCACTCCGCGCCGCCGGACGGTGGTGGGCACGCGCAACCAAGAAGATGTCTCCGACGCCGGCGCTTTTCAGTTTGCCCGAGGCGCGGACGCGGTTTACGGTGAGCTGGGGAGGGGGATGGAGGCCGTGAGTCTGACCCGGCGCTACTCTTCCTCTTTCTCTCCCTGGAGATTTCCCCAGAGGCCGCAGGACGTGGGCCGCTTGGTCCGCCGCGAGCCCCTTCCGGGACTGACAGGGAGAGGCGCGCCAGCTAGCTCTGCGGGTTCGCCTCTGCCCCTCCCTCCTCCGGCCGGTCCCGAGGCCCTGCGTGCGGGCCAGCGTGGAGCGCTCAGCCACAGACTAGCCCGCCAGCTCCAGCTCCTCGGCTAGCTCGGAGCAGCTGTCTTCGGCAGGAGCCCGGTGCTCCCGCCCCGCCTGCTGCACCACCAGGTGGCTAATCGGGCAGCCTCCGGAGCCTCTCTTGCTCTTCTCCCCCAGACATGGCTGGGGAGCTCCTAGAGCGGGAAGAGGCAGGCTGATCGATCGCCTGTGAAGGGTTACTAGCTGGGAAGAGTTGCCAGCTGCTGTTTCCTTCTTGCTTGTTTGGGAAAGGGTAGTTGAACATTTGTGCAACACTTTGATGATGGTGTGTGTGTTAGAATAACACTAAAATAGGCAGTTTTCTTGTCTTTGGTACATGAGCTAGAAACTATGACACCCCCCAACCTCCTCAAATGCAAAATTGAGTTGACTGACTTTTCTGGTTTTTCTGACTTTAAGCCCATAGGCCTGAAGAGCACTTTTACAAGCTATTAGGCCCATAATCGTCACTGTTTGTACTAAGACTTCATGCACGGTTCAACTTAGATGTTTAACTGTGTTTAGGTGGTTGTAATGATGCCAAAAGAGGAAAAAGATCCTTCATAATCAGTAGTCTTAAGTCGTTTTCTGCTTTGCCACGGGTTTTGTTTGCTTTTGAGGGATTATCCCTTGCTTATGTCATTAGAAACGTTTTCTTCTGTTACAGTAGCCTTTTTTTTTTTTTTTTCCATTCCCCCCTTTTCTGTCAGTCCTGGGGATAGAACGTGCCAAGCAAAGAACTCTATCACTGAACTGTAGCACCGTTTAATTGTAGATCACTTAGATCAGTGGTTCTCAAGCTTTGCTGTGTCTTGTGATACCTGGAGATCTTGTGAAATGAAGATACTTATTAAGCCTAAAGTGGAGGCCAGAGATTCTGCATTTTTAACAAGCTTCCATGCAGTGTCACTGTCACTGATAATAGTAAGGACCCAAATACACCACTGCTCATCTTTAACTGGTGAGGGTAGAGAAACAAAGGCAAGGAGTGGTCCCTAAGTGACTCTGTATCCCCGGTGGTAGGGCCAGGGATGGACACTCGTTGTACAGGTAGAGTAGTAAGATGGCTTTCCAAATATGTGCACTGACTGCATTGTTTTTGTCCTCTATAAAATAAAAGTGTGTGTGTGTGTGTGTGTGTGTGTGTGTGTGTGTGTGTGTGTAATGGCCAGTTTAAGACCATCATTTATTCATTGCTTAGATTTCCCTGAAACTGTGCTGCACGAACAAAATGTCTGGGCGAGGTGAAGGTGGAGCTGAGTCTGAAAGAATGTATAGACTTGGAATGAACAGGCAGAAGAAACAGCACAAGTGTGTGAACACACTGAAATGAGGGTTCATAGGAAATGACTTTTAAACGCTGCCACACTTCAGTGCATGTGTTAGAAAGTAGGAGACAAGGCTGGTAACTGTAATGTCACCAGGGGGCTTTGAGGGAACTACAAAATTTCAAAACCAAAACATGCAATTAAAGAACCATGTAAGGATTGGGGATTTGGTTTGTTGTTTAGACAGGTTTTTATGCAGCCAAGGCGGGACTAGAACTCAGAGGGTACAGGTTGACCTTGAACTGATGCTTCACTGGCATCTGCTTCCCCAGTGCTGGCTCTAGGATGCTTCCCCAGTCAGTGCTGGCTCTAGGATGCTTCCCCAGTCAGTGCTGGCTCTAGGATGCTTCCCCAGCCAGTGCTGGCTATAGGATGCTGCACCATACTTAGCTCTTTTTTTAAACTTCCATGAATGTAGTAATATAAGGAAAGGAAACCTGTGATGCAAACATATCTAGGAGCTCTTGCCAGGTTTCAAGCAGTGAGGGTTGGGATCATTAAGTTTTTTTTTTTTTTTTTTTTTTTAATTTAGAAAGACATCTAGTTGGTAAATTTTCATAAACAACAAGCAAAAGCTTTCTGCTTATTTGCCATTTTTATTTTTGTAGAAATCTACCAGAGAGGCCTTGAATAACAGAAATATCAAGCCATTGTTGAACGCCTTCAGTCAGTTACCTGGCAGGTAAAACATCATTGTCCATGAAACAGGACTTCCTAAATGTTTATATTAATTGTGAACTATTTGTGGAATGAAGATTTTTTTTTTCATTTTTGTTTTTAATAGTGAAAATGAAAAAAAATGTACCCTTGACCAAGCTTTCAGAGGTGTTCTAGAAGAAGAAATTGTAAGTATTATGTTCCCTTTATTTGTTTTTAAAATTTGTTGGCCAGTTAATAAGCCATGCTATTAGGAAATTGTTTTATTATTAGAATGGATATTTAAACATGACATCTGTTTTCTAAGCATGAGCATCCTGCCTTTTAGAAGCTAGGTTGACAGCCAGGACAGGAATATGTCCTAATTAAAGCTCTTGATAACTCAGGTACAGTTTAAGGTTCTGATAATAAGAACAGTTTGATAGGCAGTTTTAAAAATCAAGAAGTAAAGACTGATCCAGGAAGATGGCTCAGCAGGTTCAAAGTACCTGCTACAGAGCTTAATGGTTTCTAGAACAGAGATTTTGGAAGGAGAGGGTTACTGCAAGTTGTCCCCTGACCTACACACACACACACAATACATTTTTTAAATGTAGTTTTATAAGTAGATTGTCACTTTGCTATGTAAATGGTGACACACTGTGTAATGGCATAAGCAGTCTAGTCCAAGTATATTAGACATAGAACTAGGATCTATGCCCTCATTTTCTTGTGAGATCTTCCTCAGCCATAAGCGTACGTAAAAACTAAGGCTTGTTTACCCCTGGTAGAGAAATCTAATCTGTGAGGAATCTAAATACTGCCTTTAGCAGGGACCCTGAATGAAAGAAAAAGTTTATTTTTGGTCAAGCAGAACTCTCCCATAGTGGTAGATCTTCTTCTGATAACAATAATACAGTGTCACCCTTTTTTTCTCAGATAATTCTGGGTCAGACCAATTGATTTTTTTAGATTTAATCATTTCTGTGTTGTGAAGTGCTAGACAGTCGCTTTCCTTTCCGAGCTTCAGCTTCATTTGTAAGAAGAGTACCACCATTCTGTCAGGGTTTTGTGACACAACACAGTAAGCACTCAGTGATGCTTAACTGCTGTAGCATGCCTAAGCCCAACCCCTGCAGAAGACCCTTGCCTGTGGACTAAATCCAGGTCCTGCTAACCCTATCCCTAACCTGTGCTGTGGATTTTTAGTCACAACCTGGGTACTTCTGTATCCAGTAAGTCTTAATCATGCAGTAATTGCCATTTTTTCCAAGACCATTGGATCACTCTTGACTACTTGACATACTTCTGTAGTCGGTATATTATTGTTCGTATTTTTTTATCTTAGAAAATAACTTTGTGTAGGATAATTTTATTCCTGTGTGATTGCTTAAACTTGTTTTTATTGTAAATAGATTAGTCTGAATTCTTGCTCCTAAATAAAATTGTTTCTCTATTGATAGATAAATCATTCGGCATGTGAGAACGTTTTAGCTATTATTTCTCTTGCTATTGGGGGAGTAACTGAAAGTAAGTATTGTTCTGTTTGTTTTTTAAAGTTGCCTTGGTTATGACCTGTTTTGTTTAAAGCCTCTTGCTATACTCTACCTCTACCTGGTTTTGTTCATTCTTTTGTGTGTGTTTTATGTGGTGCTGGGACCAAACGTAGGGTCTTGTGCATGCTGTCCTGCCGCTTACCTACATTCTCAGCTCCTTCATTGTTTGGCTCCTACCCTTGCCAAGAACATGTTCCTACTCATTTCAACTTAGTTCATGTTCACTTCTCATCTCTGTTAGGTCATACACATTGGCAATTTCTTTGTTTTTCCAGTGTTTTAATCATAAGTACTTACTGAGCATCTATTATATACCTAGTGCTAAGTTAAGATTTAGAGACTCGGTGTCACAGAGCCCACCTGTAAGGGTCACAAGGGTGATGGAGGAAAGAGATGTGTGACTATCTTATTGTTAAGTGCTGTGGTTAAAGGGTGTTGGATATAATCAAGGGAGAGTGGCCCTGTAAATTAAAATCTAAAGGAAACAGGAGAAATTTTAATAAGGAAGATGGGTGGGGATTCATGACACATGCCTATAATTCTGTGCGTGTAAGGCTGAATCAGGACAATCAGAAATTTGAGGCAGGGCAAGACAGTGTCCCCTAAAAGTAAAACAGAATGAAAAAAGAGAAATCTCTAGCTTACAAGTAGGAACATGAGGAATTAAATTTGGCAGAAATACAGAAGAAAATAACTATACACAAGCTGCATTTGGCGTACTAGAAGATTGTGTGAAATGAGAATGGCAAAAGAAGCAAGCTGTGCGGGTTAAATGTCTGTTGTATCCCATGCTAACAGCTCTACAAGAGTGATTTGAGCGGAGCATATGTTAGCAAAAAGCTAGGCAGGGAACTATTCAAAATGCCGCAGTAGGGCACTGGAGAGATGGCTAAGAGTACTTCTGATCTTGCAAAGAACCTAGGTTCAGTCTCCAGCACCAACATGGCTCCTATAACTAACTCCAGTTTAGCGGATCCAACACCATCTGTGGCTTCAGCAGTATGCATACATTCGAGCAGAACACTAGTGGAGTAAATCCTCCTGGGCATGGTGATGCACACCTTCAGTACCAGCACTTGGGAGGCAGAACCCAACAGATCTCAGAATTCCAAGCCAGCCAGAGCTTCATAGTGAGACCCTGTCTCGAATAAATAATCTTTTATTGCAGGGGCTTGGAGAGATGGCTTAGTAATTAAGGGCACTGGCTGTTCTTGTGAGGACCCAGATTCAGTTCCCAGCACCCATGTTAGGCAGCACGTAACTACCTGTAGCTCTAGCTCCCGAGGGTATGAAGTCCTCTTCTGGCTTCTGCAGGCATCTGCAGACATGGGGTGCACATACATACACTCAGGCACAGACACATACACAAAACTTTTGTAAAAAAAAAAAAAAAATCTATCAGTGCCAAAGCTTGACATCTGAGTTCGGTCCATATGGTGGAAGGGAAGAATCAACTCCTACAAGTTGTTCTCTGAACTCCACACGTGCTCACCACACACACACACATATATGCACATTCAATAAGAGAAATAAATGTGGTAATAAATAAGCTTATATTCTATACTACCATGGTGATTTATTGGGACATACTAAATTATTCAGTAGATTGATATCCTGTGTTTAGGAAATATGGATAAAGTGGTCTGCCCAGTAATATCAGGGTGTTGTTTTGTTTGTTTGTTTGGTTTTTTGGATGAGCTGTCTTTTACTCTGTTTTGAAAGATAAAGTTGAAATTTGCCATGTAATAAAGAGAAGTGTTTAGGCAGGAAAAAGAGAATACTGTTAATGAAACCATGAAAGTGTGAGCCTAGGTTGGAATTTAGGAACTGGAGAGAGATGTTTATAACCAAGGCTAAGCTATGCAGCCTGTTGCAAAAGCTAGAATATAGACTGAAGGTTCTGGGGCACTGTATCACTCCCACTTACCATTGCCATGAGGACCAGGCTCTAGCAGCTCAGGGACTGAGGGGAGATCCAACAATCTGCAGACTAATCAGTCAACTTGACTTTTCTATCCGAGGGAGTAAAACTTAACTCTCTGGAGTGCTGGAGAAAAGGGGGAAACACACACACACACACACACTCTTTTTATGTCTTTCTCTGTTCTCTCTTTATTTCCTTTTTTATCTCTATCCAGATCTTCTTCCATATCCTTCTGCCTATGTTGATGTCTTCCTTCTAATTATCTTTATTTTTTCCCTTATATCCCAGCGAAATTTTAAGCAGTATAAAAATTACAATGTGGTTACAACCTACTTTTTTTAAGAAAATGATTACAATGACTACAAGTTAAAAAAACAACATGTTTTCCATATCGCTTACATGATTAAACATTTTACGGATTGCAGATGAAAAACAAGTTGTTCCAAGAACCCACATGCATTCATACCCAAGCAACGGTTATAGATTAACAGAGTATAAGTAAGTAAGATATTTTTCTCAGCCAGTTCTTTTACTGGCGGGCTGCATTTTTTGTGGTTACAAAGAAAGGATCAATCACTTTACTATTTATCCCAAAGTGTAATCTTACAAAAAAAAAAAAGATGTTAAAAGAATTACAAATCTAAACTTGTATGTGGAAAAAAAATATCAGCCAGCTCTATTTTAAATCCTCAGGGTTCATACCCACATAGCCAATAGTTTTTTTTTATATCAGGAAGCTGAGGGCAGAAATGGGTATGAGGCATTAATCATCACCCTTGATCACCAACCCATCCTGGCAAGAAAGGGTACATCAGCCAGCAATAGCCAGGCTGCCATTGTTCTTGTTCCCTGACCTCGACAAGTTCCTCATTGAACTATTAAAAGTATGCCTTTAAATTGTTTCCCAAGATATTTTACCTCAAAGCCCTTACCCTAACCTTAAATCATATTTTAAAGCTTTGTTTCAGCTATGATGCACACCAAAACCTAGGAACGCATCTCTCAACATTAAAAGCACTTGCACTAACTTAGCTTCTGGGACTCAGTTGTTTTTCTTAATCATTAACCTAAGCAACAGTGTATATGTCTCTTCAAGAGAAACTGGCTGAGTGACATTTCCTTGTTCTTATTTTCTATCCTCTGCAGCCCCTGCTTTATTAAGTGTGGGGGTAACACCATATCTTGCTTTTACCTATGTTAGTTTTCCCACTATGCTAACCTCTGTTATAATCCCTTATTTTATTTATTAAAAATCTTTAATCATCAAAAGCCTGTTTAAACTAACACTTAGGAGGAAATCATCTTTACAGTGCTCCATAAGTAAAAATGCCCAGCAGGACGGATATTTCCATGAGATAATCACATTATATTAAAGGCAGTGGGGATCTCCCTCTGCTCATTCACACTATGCCAAATACCAGAGAAAAACGGCAGTGGCAGATATGTAAAGACATAGCAGCACCAGGAGACGTTCTGGGACCAAGGCTCTTGCTTATCCTAGAAGCACTCATCCGAGCTCTGCTTCCTGTGGGCCCTTCCCCGGAAGTCACTTGCCACCTGCTGCTCTGACATGGCCACCAGCATCCACTGGTTCTCACACCTGCCAGCCCTTTAGAGTCACCAGCCAACTTCTATCTTTAAGTGAGATTCTCAGGCCCTCACTTAGTTCTACTGATTCAGAATCTGTGACAGGAAACCATAAATAATTTTTTCAGGTTTTATAAATATTAAATGAGTTAATATACCATACTCTACTGCAGTTAGTGACAGAAAATATGCCTTTTAAATTTCTTGGATGCACAGAGTGTAAGGTCACAGAGTCAAGTGTCAGGGAGTCTAGCCTGATTTCCTGCTGTAGTGACCCTGTTCAGTGGTTGTATCAGACAAAGCCTGTTGATGGAGTTCATGAGGTCCTGTGCAACAGTTAAGATGACACCAACCTTATTGTATTGGTTTGAAATTGGTTCCCTTTTGCTACCCTGGTTTCAGGCAGTATTTTTCACATCACAATCCAGGTGTGATCATATCAGTGCTAAAAATAGCTTCTGATGTAGCTATTTTTCAGATAGTTGGAAATAGCTTTTCTTTTCTGGAACTACTGTATTTACTCATTATTTCATGCTTACATTGACCATAGATTTTTCTTTCTCCACATACCATTTGCAGTTGGGTACTTTTTAAAAAAGTGTTATTAAGTACCCATGACCTTAAACAGAAGGGAAAAAAAGTACTTTTAACCAGTCTAAATAGCCTTTTCTTAAGGAAACATCTTTATTTCTGTCCTTTACTGATAGGATTTTAGAGCCACAAGGTAACCTTTACTTTATCGCTACTCTGTAACTTTTTGGGCTGGCTGACAGTGTCAGAGCTCTCTGTTGGCTTGCGCCTCACTTGCAGGTGTCTGTACCGCATCCACGCCATTTGTGCTGTTGGGAGATGTCTTGGACTGCCTTCCTTTGGACCAGTGTGACACAATATTCACTTTTGTCGAGAAGAACGTTTCTACTTGGAAGTCAGTAAGTGCCTTGGTTTCCTTTTGTACTAATACCCTCTCTATAAGGATAGAATTCAAAAGAAAGTTATGTTTGGTTTATTTGCTAATAATTCTGATATTGGTGACTGCCAAAAAAGCTTTCCTGTGAAAGAATTATATACTGTGTTTTCTTGGAAAAACCAAATAAGAATCAGATGTAGAGAAAACTTTGAAGTACAAGACTTAATTAATAGAAATTATTTGAAAGTACAATCTTTCAATAAGGCATAGTGTTGTAAACTTATGAGGCATAGGCAGGGAAGCTGTGCTCCAAGCTAGCCTGGTCTACACAGGAAGAACCTATCTCTCACAAACAAAGGAGGCTGGGGAATGGCTCACCACTTTAGAGCACTTGTTGCTCCTTTGGGAACCTGGATTCACCTGGCAGCACCCACACATGGTGGCCCACAGTCATCCACAACTCTAGTTCAAGGGGGTCTGATGCCCTCCTCTAGCTCTCTCAGACACCAGGCACACATGCAGTGCACGCACATAGGTACATGCAGGCAAAAAGGAAATGAATACATGTGAAACACACACTTCTAGATACCTGCAACCTATTCAGTGCCATGCTGTCTTACATATCCAAAATCGTTTTACGGAAAATGCCTTGAAATAAGTGAAAGTAGTGAACTAGAGTCTCATAGATTAGTACTCACTAATATTTTAATTCCTATGACTTCACTGAAGGGAGTAGACAACTTCCAAAGTGTAGTAATAATTTTGGTCTTAATTTCAGAATACATTCTATTCTGCTGGCAAAAATTATTTACTACGTATGTGCAATGGTAAGTAATTCGTTATTAAATTATTGCTTTTAAAACTGTGAATGTGACCAGAAAAATAGGTGGTTTATTAAATACTAATGAAAAATGTCTTAAAAGTAGATTAGGATCTTCGTTTTTAAGTTAACAGTCTTATTTATTAAAGTGATCGTTCACTTACATTGATCTTGTCCACAGAACTTTATTGTTAACTTATAGTACTTCCTGTGACAATGATTTCTATTTCGGTTTTGGGAACCCTTGCTTTAGGAAGATACTGAACAAATAGTTAAAAATTCAGGCATGCTTGTAGTAAACACAGAGTGATCTCTTCTCTACTACTCATTTCTGAATTGTTAGATCTCCTCAGAAGATTGTCTAAATCTCAGAACACGGTCTTCTGTGGACGAATTCAACTCTTTTTGGCCAGGCTTTTTCCTCTATCAGAGAAATCAGGTAAGCTTTTATACATTAACTTCTCTGCAAGGAAATCTCTTTCAGTTTTTATTGGAGTAAAGTCTGTCATAATGAGAAAATTTAACATAATAAATTGAAAGCTTAGACAATTGCTTTATTTTCTTGTAAATATACCAGTCCTAGCTATGATATACGTAATCTTAAGTTCAAAGTTTATTATCAGTGTGCTGTGTTTCATAGTCATATATACAGGTATGAACTATCCTGCCTATATTTCATCTCATAAGTCTATTTGTTTCTATTTTCTGTTTCATTAGTTGCTATTTAGTCATATTTAATTAATTTTACAGTATTTTGTCAGTTTTGTTTTTTTAATACAGGGTTTCTTTGTGGAGTCTTGGCTGTTACGAAACTCACTCTGTGGACCAGGCTGTCTTCAAACTCACAGAGATCCACCTGCCTCTGACTCCTGCGGGCTGGGATTAAAGACGTGCACTGCTACTCCTAGCTCATCAGTTTGCTTTCTTACACACTCTGGAACTGAAGTGGCACAGCCCACAATGGGCTGGGCCCTCCCCTAGTAGTCACTGAGAAAATGCCTTTTCATATGACTTTAGCTGTGTATACACACACACAGCAAAACTCAACTGTTGTCATGCATCCTTTTCATGAAATGTTTGTTTCTCTTTAATTCTTGTAAGAGTTTAGCATCTATAAAATGCTAGATTGGGCCAGGCAGGGGCGATGCACGCCTTTAACCCAGCACTTGGGAGACAGAGGCAAGTAGATCTCTGTGAGTTCAAGGCCAGCCTGGTCTACAGAGCAAATTCCAGACTAGCCAAGGCCACACAGAGAAACCCTGTCTTGAAATATGCCCCCCCCTCCACCCCCCAAAAACATGTTAGGTTGGTAGTAGATAGATTTCATTTATGGTACTCATTATCTTCTAGCCTCTCATTCTTGGTTATTTGTGTGTGTGTGTGTGTGGTGTGTCAATCAAAGGACAATTTGTGGGAGTCAGTTCTCTTACCGTGCTTACCATGTAGGTCCTGCGTATTGAGCTCATGTCACCAGGTTAAGCCAGTTTGTGGCCCTGGTCTTGTGGAAGATATCCTAATTGTTTTCCTCTGCTTTTAAGATTTTCTTTGATTTTTATTATGTATGGATTGCTTTTTTACCTATCATTCTTGGGCTTTGTTGACATCTTAAATTTGGATTAATGTCTTTTACCACTTTCTAAAAGTTTTAGTGATAACCTTCACTATTTTTATATGCCTTCACATTTTTAAAAAGCCTTTTTCTACTTTTGCATCTCCGAATAAATACCATCTACTCCTTCACTGTCTTTTACACTACCTATCTGCCTCCCTGTCTGAATATTAACCTGTCCCTGCATTACACTCTGAGTAGTCTGAGTTCTCATTTCTAGGTGTTTTCACTTTTTAGCATTTTGTTCCCTGTTGATACTTTGAAGTTGTTCTTTAGTTTTAAAATATGTTAAGCATTTCTTGTTATTTGATCATTCCAGCACCTTATGCTTTTGTGAGTCTGTTTCAGCTGTCTATTTTTTTTTTTTTTTAACCCAGAGTGTCTTGTCTCTGTGTGTCTGGTAGGTCTTGTATGTTATTTATTTATTTGTTTATTTCTCTGAGAAGAAAGATTTGGAATTCTAGGATGGCTACCTTTCTTGAGAGAGGGCTTTTTGGTTGGTTGGTTGGTTGGTTGGTTGGTTGGTTGGTTGGTTGGTTGGTTGGCTTTTCGAGACAGGTTTTCTCCATGTAACAGCTCTGGCTGTCCTGGAACTTGCTTTGTAGACCAGGCTGACCTTGAACTCACAGAGATCCACCACCTCTGCCTCCTGAGTGCTGGGATTAAAGGCATGCGTACCACCATCACCACCCTTCAAGAGAGGGTTTTTATTGCGTGTGTGTAGTGCCTCAAAAGGGGACTGCTGCCGCCAGTGATGGCCACTTTAATCTAGCCGAACTCAGAACCTATTACTTTCTTTATCATCCAGAAAATTTGGCACTAGCCTACAGTGTTTTCACTGTTCTCTGAAGATGCCTTGATATGAGATTTCTCCGTTTATTAGATTTTTTTTCTCCTCTTTTAGCCCCAAAAGCCACTGAAAGAACAACAGAATAATCATATCTGATTCTTTCTGACAAGAATTATAAAGGTAGTATAGATATCTGAATGCCATTCCTAATATTAATAGTGTATGATGCTAATACAGTTATTAACACTAGGAAGACAGCATTGGCGCAGTCCTCATTGTGAGCCAGAGGCCTTTGAACTTCATCAGCTTATCACTGCTCTCCTTTTTCTATTCCTGGGTCCATATTACATTTAATTTTTATGTTACCTAGTCTCTCCAATAAAAGTCCCTTAGTTTCTGCTTATCTTTTTTAGCTAACACATAGAAATTGAAGTTAGGCTTTTGAAGAACATGTGTCTTCCCCCAAAGCATCATGTTGAAATTGATGTTGACATACCTTGTTCTGGCAGTGCTATTTATACTCATTGCTGAATAAAGACAGAATCTCCCATTTGTCTCTATTTAGTGGGGCTAGTTTTTCCCTTTGTCATCTAAAATGCTTAGGAGGAGGGTGAAATTTTGAGACTGTATATAGATACTTCTTTTCTTCCTAATCTTTGCCTACTAATATCTGTCAGTGGACCCTGCCTGATGTGAATGTTATTAGGGTATTGTGATTTTCTCATCTTTTCTACATTTATTAATAGTGATCCTTCCATAACGGAAAGTTGTCCCAAAGGCTTGTTTCTAGTTTAGCTACCTCTTTCCAAATGAAGTGTGGCCATTTTATTCCTTGGTTTATAATGTTATATTATTTACTCTTTTTTGTTCACATTGTTCTTGTTTCTGCCACTGAGAGCTCTTCCAGATTTTCTTGATATATATTGCTATCCAGGCTCCTCTATTTTTTCCTTTGCCAGACTTAGAGTTGCCCATTTCCCCAAAGATCCCAGTTCCTTTTATTTAAGAATGTTAGTTAAAGCCAGGGGTCTGGACCTAATATAATATATACTTGTTGTGCCTAGATCCTCTCAGCAGGCAGAGTGAGGAAAGGTATATGGATATGCTAACTTATATGTACATACATACGTGTATGAACAGCAACAGAAAAGTGAGCTTACACAGGTAAAAGCAACACTGATAGATTTGCTTATTTTTAACTTCTTTATAATATTTTTACTTATTCATTATATTCTCTCAGACTGAAATAGTTTGGCAAAATTCTAAATACTCTATAATCTGTAGCTTTATTTTGAATGTTGTGAATAAAAAGGACTAACTCAGCCTAGTATGGTAGCACACACCTGTTTCTAGCACTCAGGAGGCTGAGAGGCAGGTAGTCACCAATATGAGCTGCATGGTAAACCTAACTCAGAAAAATAGAAATCTATTTGTTACTACAATTTCTATAGAAATTTGAGTATTCTAGAGATACCTTAACAAGTAAATCTTAGCCAGGCTTGGTGGTGCATGCCTTTAACCCCAGCATTTGAGAGGCAGAGGCAAATGGATCTATTCATTCAAGGCCAGCCTGGTCTCCATGAGAAAGTTCTAGGACAGCCAGAGCTATGTAAAGAAGACCTTGCCTCAAAGCCACAAAAAATAAATATTAACAAGTATTTGAAAATCAAGTGTGGTGTTTATTTCTGTTTTCATCATTTGCTTGTATGTGGATCTGGTATTTTATGTTTAGTTAACATGACACAAGTCATAGTCCTATGCAATTTTTAAGTGACAATGCATTTTCATGAGAATCTCTTTTTTAATAGGTCTTAACTTACAGAGTCAGTTTAACCTGGAAAACGTTACTGTTTTCAATACAAATGAGCAGGAAAGCACCCTAGGTCAGAAGGTAAGGCTATTGAGAAACCTTCTCACAGAACATTCTTAGACTTTTAACTTCACTTTAAAACTGTATTATTGTATATGCATACACATGTTGGGGTGGAGCATGTGTGGGATTGGTTCTACCCTCCCTCCTCTGTGGCTGCCTGTCCACCTCCTACAGCCTTACACCCATGCTAGCGCCTGTTCTTATCATTATACTTTAACCCTTGTTTCAGTGCCGATCTTTACACATGGCCATGTTATGGTATTGTCATACTGGTTTTAGTTTCCTATCATTCAAAATTCCTATTGCCTTAAAGATTGTAGGTCTGAACAGTTACTATATAACTAGACCTCCCTAATAACAATTGTGTAAAAGTATGTGAATTACTGAATTGTATAGTGTGTATCTTTTGCTCAATGACTACTTCATGACAGAGTGGTTTGTTTGTTTTGTTGTACTCAGCACACTGAAGATAGAGAGGAAGGGATGGATGTAGAAGAAGGTGAAATGGGAGATGATGAAGCCCCAACAACTTGGTGAGTTTTTTAGAGCTGAAGATTTCCTGATCTGCAAAGATAGCCTTTAGTGAGGTATCAAATACTGGAATGAAGACACAGAGAGGGAGGAGGGAAATCATGGTTATTGGTTTCTTTTACATATACTTTAGCATATGTTTAATAAATGCTGAGTCACTAGTATGCTGTATCAGTTGGTTTCTAAATCATGGGACTGTTTGCACAGCCCATCTTACACATATCACAATCAGCCGTAGCCTTAGGAGCCCCTGCCTTCTCCCTTCCCTTAACTTGTGAGCCTGGTGCCCGTGGTGAGGGTACTGCCTTGATGATCGCAAATTAGAAACCTCCCTCCCTCCCTCCCTCCCTCCCTCCCTCCCTCCCTCCCTCCCTCCCTCTCCTTCCCTCCCTCCCTCTCTCTCCTTCCCTCCCTCCCTCTCCTTCCCTCCCTCTCTCCCTCTCCTTCCCTCCCTCCCTCTCCTTCCCTCCCTCCCTCCCTCTCTTTCCCTCCCTCCCTCCCTCCCTCTCTCTCTCTCTCTCCTTCTCTCTCCCTCCCTCCCTCCCTCCCTCTCTCTCTCTCCTTCTCTCTCCCTCCCTCCCTCTCTCCCTCTCCTTCCCTCCCTCCCTCTCTCTCTCTCTCTCCCTTCTCTCTCCCTCCCTCCCTCCCTCCCTCTCTCTCTCTCCTTCTCTCTCCCTCCCTCCCTCTCTCTCCCTCTCTCCCTCCCTCTCTCTCTCCTTCCTTCCCTCTCTCTCTCTCTCTCCTTCTCCCTCCCTCCCTCCCTCTCTCTCTCTCCCTCTCTCTCTCTCCCTCCCTCTCTCTCCCTCCCTCTTTCTCCCTCTCTCTCTCTCCCTCCCCCTTCCTCTCTCTCTCTCCCTCCCTCCCTCCCTCTTTCCCTCCCTCTCCCTCTCTCCCTCCCTCTCCCCCCTCCCTCTCTCTCCCCCCTCCCTCTCTCTCCCTCCCTCTTTCCCTCCCTCTCTCTCTCTCTCCCCTTCCTCCCTCCCTCTCTCTCTCTCTCCCTCCCTCCCTTCCTCTCTCTCTCTCTCTCTCTCTCATCACTCTTTTCTCACCTCTGTAGTCCTGAGGCTTTATTGCAGTTAATCTCTTAGTGCTAGTTAAGAGCAGTGAGGAGGAAGCTGACAGGGAAAGCAGAGTCCATGCTGATAGTACTCTTCCATGTCTGAAGGAAGCAGCAGGCATTAATGTCACTTGCAAGTGAAAGACTATAATTGCTGTCCAGAGATAAATAGGGGATTCTTCTGCCTGTGCAGGAAGGGGTATTTCTGATATCCCAGATTTCAAATTCAATCAGACATTCATGTAAGAAATATTTAGAAGTGATATTTCCTGCAATTTAACGCCAGTGCTTGTTGTTAGTCATATGACCATAAACAAATAGTTTCCTGCAACTGAGTTTTGGTGTCTTTACAATGTAGCAATGCTGCCTACTAATTGTGATTTGACTCAGATAACAAATAAATGTTTTTTTGTACTATATAAATGGCTCAGTGGATCCAGGAGTAGTGGTGTAACCTGTACTCCCAGAACCTGAGGGTTAGGCTGCAGGATTGCTTTGAATTTGAGGGTAGCTTGGGTAGTGTAAGACTCTGTCTCAAAATGACAATCAAGGTTCAACACTAAAAAATTAGTTTTTGTAGCATTTCCATGTAAGATACTTAGGTGACATTCTACTGTATTGTTGGTGTTGTGACAGATTTCCTTTGTTGGCTGGACAGGTCTTGAATTCTTGGGCTCAAGAGATCCTTCTGCCTCACTTTATCCAAATGTCTGGGACTACAGTCATGCTTGACTATATCTCACTTCAGACATTCTATTTTAGGTAGTAACTCTTACTTCTAACTTATTATGGCTTACAAGTATAATAAGTTTTGCCTACTGGCACAAGCCTACCATCCTAGTTGCTGGGAGCCTGGGACAGGAAAATCCAGGTTCTGAGTATGCCAGATCCTCTTTAACAACTTTTCTGAGAATATATCTGTTTACTTTTAGGGTTATGTTCTGTTTGTTTAATGTGTATGTATGTGCTGCATACCGCAGCACAAATGCAAAGGTCAGAGGACAACTTTTGGTTGTGGTAGAAAGGTAACCAAACCCTGTCTTAAGAAAGAAAAAAAAAAAAAAAAAATGAGGCAAAGGAGGTACATAAAACTTATGGGTTTCCAATTTTCCTACGAGGTGTGAATCTCTCTCACGCACACACGCGCACGTGCACACATGCGCGCGCGCGCACACACACACACACACACACACACACACACACACACACACACACACACACACGGCACAGGCAACTGAGCCCAAGATTTCGTGCAAGCAGCAAGGCAAGGACTCAACCACTGAGCTACATCCTTTGCCTCAGAAGGTGGAAGGTAGAAGGCCAGAACCCACATCCAAGGTTGTTCTCCATTGTCCACACATGTGCACATCCATACATGCACACACGTATATATACACACACACATACACACACAGATAAAGATAGCTAAAAACAAAGATCCTTTAGAAAAAGGATTTATTTTCACTTGTGTATGTGTGTCTGTCTGTATGTAGGTATGTGCACATGAGTGCAGGTACCTCCAGAGGCCAGAGAGGCGTTCAGTCCTCTAAAGCAGTCAGGGCTCTTAACTGCTGAATCATCTCTTCAGCCCTTACATAAATAAAAGATTCCTATTAATGCCAAGCATTAAATTATATTTTGATCTTCTAGTGACTGAGACAAAAATGGACATCTAAATGGTTGCATGATTCTCTCTGCTAGAGATAACCTTCTGCTTTTCTTAGGATAAATCCCCTGGTGCCACATAGTATTGTAGCCATATTGGAAATTGAATTAGTAATGCCATAATGAAGTTACTAGAGAATAGGCCTATTTTTGTGATATTTGTTCTTTCGTATTTGTCTATACTAGCATTTTCTAGAATAGGGGATAGTTATCCATTCAAATTGGTTTATGACTAGAGAGGCATTCCAGAGCTAGTATGATGGATGTACATACAGGGAAGTGTATAAGAGCCCAGGTTTCTTCTAGCTTGTGTTCCCAGCACACATTTGCCCCTTTCCCTGTGGTGTAGATGTAGCCACTGCTACATTTGTGCCAACAGGAGGCGCGAAGACAGATGGATGACCCAAATACCACACATACAGCTTCCTCCAATGCATTTCACATGGGCAGTCCTAGCAGCAAGAAAGATTGAGTCATTGGCTTTTCATTCTAAGTGGTCTTTTGTTGAGTCAAAATTCAGGAGCGCCCCAGTGTACAGAGTGTCTATTGAGGCTTCGAGCCCTCAGATCTTTTATCAAAGTCTATAATTGTTTTTGAATGTATGCTTTTTAGGGGATAGAAGTCTTTTATGAGCTTCTGTAAAGGTTTGGTAGCCCAGGAAAAGAACATTTACATAAAACAATTTAAGTGATATAATATAATATTTATTTTATAGCTCTATTCCAATTGATTACAACCTATATAGAAAATTTTGGTCACTTCAGGATTACTTCAGGAACCCAGTACAATGCTATGAGAAGATTTCTTGGAAAACTTTTCTCAAGGTGAGTTACCAGTCACACTTCAAGAGATGATGGCCAAGCTAGACTTACTCTTGCCCAAATACTTTTCACTTTAGAACTCTGTCTCTGATGGCTTTATATACACATTATATAATACACAGAAACTAAATTGTGAATGATCCTTAATCACTGATTTTGTAGTATAGTTTTAAGTGGTTTAAGGTTTAAAAGTTAGTAATTAAAGCCTTGATGGTTTGTTTTTAATAGTATTTGCTGTCAACATAAATTGATGATTTTTTTTCAGTATGTCGTCTATCTTTGAAGTCTCATTTGAAGGACACACAGCAGGGTTTTTTGAGAGTTAGCAAGGGCAATGGCTGGAAAGGAGTTGGCCTGCCTAGTTGTTGTTTTCTCCAAGTTGTCCTATTAAAATGGGGTTTACAAAATTATAGCCCAAGCCAAGTCAGGTGATTTGTAAAGAGGTTTGTTGGACCACAGCCATGCTGATTCATTTAGTGTGGTTTTTCTGCAGGGTGGCGGGGTTGAGTAGTTGGGACTGACATCACATGTGCCCAAAACTCTTGCTGTCTGCTCCTTTTCAAAACATTTCCAAACCCATCTTAGAAGAGTCTCCATATTTGTCTTGTAGAAATGCAGATTGTGATCCAAATAAGAAAATATAGATAAGTAGTTTTTAAAGTAATGTAGTAAGTATTCTATGTTAACTTGTATGCAATTTAGATGGCACCATCCATATTGAGTGAGTGAGAAATTACAAGGAATTATTTTTTCATTGTTTTGTTAATCAGCACATAAAATGTTTTTTGAGATTTCCATAACTGGTTAAACAATTGGTTTTACTGCTAAGTTTTTAAAAGTTCTCTTACAGTTTTCATACATGAATTTTAGGCATTTTTACCCCAATCCTTTTTATCAACACACACACACATACACACACACACACACACACACACACACATTCACACCAACACTCACACACTCACATACTCACACACTCTCTCACACACTGACACACATACTCACACATTCACACCAACACTCACACACACACACTCTCACACTGACACACACACTCACACATTCACACCAACACTCACACACTGACACACACACTCACATTCACACCAACACTCTCACACACTCACACACTGACACACATACTTACACACTCTCACACACTGACACACACACTCACACATTCACACCAACACTCTCTCACTCACACACTTAGCAGCTTTCATGCCTTCCTTTGTCATCTGACCCAGCTAAGTCTATTTGCTTGCTTACATATGGGAGAAATCCTTTACTGGAGTGTGGTGGTGAAATCAGTGGCTGTACCCCAGAAGAAAATGACCCCCTACACACACTATATATAACCATCAGCTGTTAGCAGACCCTCAGACAAGCAAGGGGCCTGAAGGGTTCTTCCTCAATACAGGATCAAATGCTGGCAGGCCCAGTGTCATATGGTTCTTGTACAGATAACACAATGGTAATGAGGTCTTGGGTACAACAGCTGTGTCCTATACAGAAGGCATTTATATATAAATGTGAGTCTTTAGACTGCAGTAACATCATAATCACTTAGCAAAAACATTCACTGGTAAATTTTTATATATAGCCAGCTCCTCATATCAGTAGGTTCTATACCTATGGCATCAGTCATCCACAGATTGAAAATATTTGCAAAATTTGTATCTGTAGTGAATACATGCAGAGTGTTTCCTTGAAACTAATATTTCAGTAGCATTTACATTGTGTTAGGCACTGTTTGTATGAGATAGTTTATACAACTATACAGGAGGGTATGAATAAGAACTATACCATAAATGAGACTTTTCAGTGTTTAAGACTTGTCTCAAAGACAGAATTGAACAGATACCCAAGAGGGAGGTATACTAGCAGAAGCCTTTCTTTTTCTGTTTGCTGCTTGATAATTTACAAAATGCTATAAAAATCTTGTAGTTTTCTTGAGGAATAGTGTTTATTCCCTCTTTTGCAGTATTATGAAATCCAACAAAAGTGTTTTCTCCTATATTGCTGTTAGAAAGTTTTTTAATGCCTTAAAATATATATGTATATATGTATGTATGTATATATGTAAGTTAACTAGGAGTAAATTCTAAATATTTGATACAGAAAATCGCTAAATTAATTTTTTTAATAACAGTGTCAAAGAAAACTATAATGTCTTTTCTTTGCAGTATTCTGAAGAAGTTTTAGCTGTTTTTAAGAGTTATAAATTAGATGATACTCAAGCCTCCAGGAAAAAGATGGAAGAATTAAAAACAGGAGGAGAACATGTATACTTTGCAAAGTTTTTAACAAGTGAAAAGGTAAAAATCTTTTGCACTAAGTATGAGGGATTTTGTTCTAAAGTGTGTGGTTTGTTCATGTTCAGTAGAATCATTTTTTACTTAGTTTGACACTTCCATTCTTGAATAGGACTGATTTGATTACAAAGTTGTTCTCTGCAAAGTCACCTAGTGTGCTTACTGTAGAATAAATAGACCTAAGACTTGGAAGTGTATATATTTTAAATTTTAAGTTAGAATTTATTTTGTATGAGAATATTTCGCAGTTCATTTATCATACAGCTTGAAAGTTCCCTGCTGACTTGTATGCATTTCAGTAAGTCTTGTTCACAGTTGAATTTGTTTGACTCACTGTGTTTGCTGTAAGCACATAATAATGTTAAGTAATATAAAAAGAGAACACCAAAAAGATAAAGCTGAATTCCCAGAAATAAATATTTCCATGGATCAAAAATTGCAAGTTATGTAGGGTGATGGTGACACACGCCTTTAAGTCCCAGCACTTGGGAGGCAGAGGCAGGTAGATCTTTGAGTTCCAGGCCAGTGTGGTCTGCAGAGTGAGTTCAGTGGCAGCCAGGTTACACATAGAAACCCTATCTTGGAAAAACAAAAAAACAAGAACAGCAACAAATAAATAAATAAATAACAAGCTATGGGAATGAAACTGAAGCTTTTGGACTCCATCTAAAACAGATGGCGGCCCCACAAGTTTGACTGCAACTAACACAGGCCAACTATGCTCCTGTTGGACCAGGGCAGAGCCATGGACTAATGTAGAAGTTTACTTATATCACCAACTTCTGCCAAGAGCCATTGTGTTATAGGACATCACCAGCCCAGGAATAACAAAGCCACAACTTTGTCTCTGTGGGCTTACTCAGTAGCACAAACATGATACCACCTACAAGCAACTTCCGGGAAGTCAGAACACATATTCATACTTGCTGAAAGACCGTAAATACAAAATTACTTGATAGAGATGGGTGGACACAGAGAAGAAAGAAAATGAAGTAAGCAAGGATCTCAAGAGAAGCATTTCCTATTCAAACCCTCTGATTAGTTAAAACTCCGAAGTCTAAGGAGATCTGGTAAAAGGTCACCAGCAAAATCAATTATTCAAATTATATATTTATTAAGGTAATATTCAACAAGATCAACACATAGCATATATATGCACGTGTGTGTGTGTGTGTGTGTGTGTGTGTGTGTGTGTGTGTGTGTGTGTGTATTATACCCAGAGGTAATTGATGAGATAGTAGCCATCAAAAAAGACAAGAAATTGGAAAATAGAAATAAAGGCAGTAGAACAATTGGACTTGACAATTAATTGTGAGTCATGGAAATTTAAAAATTTTATGATCATTTATAAGGCACAGTATTAATTTATAGATGGAACCAGGGATCAAGAGAAAACCTATTGAACTGAAGACAGTGATGAGAACTTGGTCTTGGATGCAGATTAGCACTAAATGAAAGAACAGTTAGAAGTCATGGAAGTTATTGAAGACACCTAACATCTGAATCGATGTCTAAAGAACAAAATGGAGGGAATAGCATAGAAACTATGTTGAAAAGAATTACAGAAAATCCAAATCTACAGGTTAAAACTGTACTACAGCTACCAAGCAGAAAAAGACAGATGTGTACTTCAGTATGGTAAAGGAAACCTTTAAAAAGCCACCAAACATAGGGAAGGCATTAACCAAGAAAGAACAGCCATTGTAGATTTATCAATCATCCCTTCCTGAAACAGTAAAGAAATATTCAAGTACTGAGTAAAAACAAAACAAAAACACGGCCCCAATTGTAAAATTCTAAACTCGGCTAAATACCCTCAACACTGAAGATAAAAAGAAACTTGCTGTTACTGAAAAGACTGGAAGCTTGCAGGGTCCTCGGGAAGAAGGAGGCTGGGTTACAGGAAGAGAGGAGTGGGCCACAGAAAACCACAGTGAGCACAGAAGCTGAAACATGACAGTTTATAGTTGACTAAACACATAATCTAACAGCTGATTTTTAAACTAACACCAAAAATAGCAATATAGTATGGGAAGGGAAAGCATAAGTGTTCAGTGAACAATTTAAGCTCAGTGCAGACCTTGTAATAGTTAAGAGAAAGGTGGAGTAACAGGTAACTTGAAAATTATGTGTATTAAAATCATGCAGCACTGGGCACTGGTGGTGCGCACCTTTAATCCCAGCACTCAGGAGGCAGAGGCAGGCAGATGACTGAGTTCGAGGCCAGCCTGATCTACAGAGTGAGTTCTAGGACACTCAAGGCTACACAGAGAAACCCTGTCTGAAAAAAAAAAAACAAAACCAAAGTGTCAATTTAAGTAATGTTATCAGCACAAAGAAGAGAATTATGTCCTTTTAGGAATTCAAGGTTCATTTCTCAAGAAATGATAGTAAATTGTATGTCTTAAAAGTTGTTTTTCTGGTGAGAAGGGTATAAATAACATTTCTAAGGACAATTTAATAATAGAAATTAATAGGATTAAGCATTTCAAAGAAATTTCCACATCATAGTATAAAGTAGATGGGTTTCCTTTTTTTAATCCTTTCCTCCACTGTATCTGGCCAAGCTTTCTTAAATGTGTCCCTTTTCTGTTGTCTTTCGAGGGCTTCCTTCATCAGCAATTAGGAAAGATAAGCTTCCAGGGTTGGGAACTCTCTAGTCTTATTACTTAGTAGCATAAAGTAGGTAAAAAGCAGCTCTGAAAAGCTCCAAACCTACAGTCTGAAACAGTGTGAGGGGCTGCAGGGACAGCTTGGAAGTTGAGAGTGTCTCCCACTATTCTTGAGGATCAGGGTTTGGTTCCCAGCACCCAAGGTGGGCAGTTCACCACCACCTGTAACTCTAGCTCCAGCAGATGTAGGGCTTTTGTTCCTGGCCTCCAAGAGCACCCCACACCGGTCACATGCATGTGCGATACACACGCACGCACGCATGCACACACACACACACACACACACACACACACGAGAGTCCTAGTTTTTGTTTTTACTTATTTGCATCTTCAGTGTTTTTAAATTTTATTTATTTGCATTTTCTCCTTTGCTGCCTCGTAATCAACAACCTAATCATAAATTTATGCACTCATCATATTTTTTACATATTTTATTGTTTACTACTAATATGTGTAACAAGAAAAAATAAGACCCAGTGACTGATATTGAGGTTCAAACTTCAAGCTGAAGATAGAAAATCAAAACAGCCAACCACTAGCTTCTTACCTCTACCTCAGGCTGAATGGTCTCAGGCAGATCCCGTCTCCACCAGCTCTCATCAAGCCTCAGACTGTAACCTCTCCTCAGTGTGGCTGGAGAATGAATGTCTCATACTGACTACTTGTTCCTGTCTTTTATACCCCTCTAGTGCTGGGATTAAAGGAGTGAGCTATAATTCTCTTTTAGACTGATTCACTCTTGTGTAGATCTGGGTGGCTTTTGACATACACATATCCATCTACCTCTTAATCCTGAGTCCTAGGGTTAAAGGTGTGTACCACTATGTCCTAGCTTCTGGCTGCTGGGATTCAAGGTGTGTGTCACCACTGCCTGATCTCTATAGCTTAAGGCTGACTTTGCTTTTCTGCCTCAGTCAAACTTTAATAAATCATAAATAATATGTCACTACAAACATATTGTACCAGTAGTGCATTATCTGTGGAATGTGGTGTTCTACAGGCTCTCCTGCCCCACTGAAGGAAACCCTCCAGCTTCTCCATACTTTAAAATGTCTCTCATTCTCCAGAAAGTCACCCCAGCTAACTACATGGCAGCCTGCAGCTGACAGAAGATAGATTTATAAATCATAGGAAAGATAAGATTTTTTTTTCCAGGGATATAGTTACCTTAGTCTTTACCAGAAAAAGCTAGTGGTTTGGGGATATTTATCACTGTACTAGACACCTGTGACCCAATTTGATGGGAATATTATTACTCCGAAGCTCTGTACTTTAGGGGAGTCAGAAGCTGACACTTGGTAAGGATGCTAAAATCTTTGTAGTGAATACTCAGGCCAGTCCTACTCTTAACACACATAAGCATGATCTCTACAGTTTGTGTTGCTCAACACAAGCACTAAGTCTATTTCTCTTGCTGGTGAGGCAGAATAATCCAGGATCATCAGTTGCTCAATGTAGTACTGACTTCTCTTTTCTATTTTATTTCTTTTTTAAAAATCTTTTATATTGCTTCAAAGTTTTAAGAGAAATGAAATGTGCAGCTTAAACATGAGCCTGCAGTGAGAAAGAAGATGCTAGTAAGTAGAACAGCCTAGCTGTGGCAGGCTATCTGAGAAACACCCCGGATGAAGCTGAGCCAATAGAACTTGGGACTTGGAACCAATCACTAGGCTTTCTGATATTATACTGAACATTCATTTAGAAGAAGGCAACTTCCTAGTGTTCCTCTAGGTCAAAAGGGGCAGAACTGATAAGTGTGCAAAGTCTTCAACTATCCCTGAGCTCTGTAGGGGCATTATCAGAATGACATTCCTTCTGGCCACCAGTTACTCTCGAGAGTACTACCAGATGGTCGGATTGCTGGAGAGCATCCTCATTCATGGTCCTCAAGCCCATTCTGCTGTGTAACATAGTTACAGCTCAGTGGTCTCTAAAAGCTGAAGAGAAAGGGCCCATTTTTAATTAACAGATAACTTTTCCCTTCCAATTTTTGCAGATTAGTCATCCCTACCTCTGATGCAGGCACTTTGCAGGGTTACAAATGAGTGGCGTCCTTGCCGTTATACTTTTCTCTGGAGCCTTCCTGTAGCCACTGTTCTTTGCATGTGGGAAAATGTTAGGCACTCTTTTAGATCATTTTATCCTGCCTTATGCTGTCCTAGTGTCAGGACCAGAGAGAACATGTTTTTTATTGATCATCATAGCGTAAAATGGCCAAGATGTCAAAACAAAACCTTTGATATTCTGTTCTTAGGCTTTTGCAGGGAGTGAGCACACAGAAAATATTTGTCTTATTTGGAACAGGAAGTTCCATTTCTGTAATTCTATCATTTGTACTTTTAGTCATACTTGGTTTTAATGTGTTCTTTTGTATATGTGCTTATATTTTGAATAGTTGATGGATTTACAGCTGAGTGATAGTAACTTTCGGCGACACATCCTGTTGCAGTATCTCATTTTATTTCAATATCTCAAGGGACAGGTTAAATTCAAAAGGTAAGTTAATGTGTAGTGATTCATAAAAGTGGCAATGGAAAGACCTTGCATAGAATTTTTCGTGTTTTACAACCATAAAATAGTCATTTAGTTTTTTTAATTAAAACTTATTACGGGTTAGGGCATGAGCCGTGGTGCATTGTGGAGGCCCAGGACAGTTTTCAGAATCAGTTCTCTTTCCACTGTAGGAGCTGAACATGGGGTTCAAGTTGTCAAATTGCACAGCAACAGCTTTTACCCACTGAGCCATCTCACTGCTCTTAGACCCATTTCGTGAATAAGGGCTACATGCCTTGAGTATTTTTACTGCAGCTACTAGCCAGCCAGTTGGGAACTTTTAGGTATAGGACATCTGTTTTAGAAAACATACATCTGCTAGAAAGTCTCCTGCTTTAGAGTACCAGGCTTGTCCAGAAGTGTTGGGTTCCATGCATGGCAGTCTCTGTTACCTCACCCAGGCATCTGACTCATGCTAAATTATAAACTAAAGAAATAATACCCTCACATAGTATAAGTTATCTAGAACTGAAAGAAGCAAAGAAAATCCTGAAACAAAGGTGAGTTCTAGGCACTGGGGAGGTAGTTCAGTTGGTGAAGTGATTACGGAGCAAGCATGAGAATCCAAGTGCATTCTCCAGCACCTACACAAGGAGCCAGGTGTGGGGCACACCGAGGAACCCCAGCCATGCAGATGTGGACAGGAAAATCCCTGAGGCTTGTTGGCCAGCTAGTCAAGCCTAACCAGCAAGTAAGAAACCCTTTCTTCCAAAACAAGTTGAATGGCAAGGTGAGGAGTAACACCCAGAGTTAACCTCTGACCCCCACATCCCTTCATACACGGTTCTGTTGATTTGGGTTTTCATATAACTGCATCAGGATCTCTATTGTGTCTAAACCCCTCCACCAAAAAGCATCCTATAGCTTGTATACAAATTAGTACAGTATGAGTTACATAAAAGACATTGCTTTCTTGCCTGCTAGATCCATATTCCATCCAATGTCAGCGTCTACTACAGTTCCTTCAAAATTGCCATTAATTTTTATTCAGTGTTAAAGTTTAGTGTCATGTGATGTAGGAAGATGGACTTGGAATCAGACCTAGGTTTGAATTCAAGCTTTAAACTTTGGGAAAGTCATTAAGTCACTCTATTCTCTTTAATATGTGCATGAAATGGTTCTGCAGATTTTGAGCCTGTGGTCAGAGCCCGGCAGATGACAGTCTAGCTGTATTTGTTGATGGCTTTGGAGCAGTAACCTTTCCTATGGTTTGTATTTTGAATGAGTTTTAAAGGAAATATAGCATGCCTATCTGAATATGTGTCATGTATAGTATTATGTTAATGTTTTCTCAGATTTTTATCCTATTAAATTTATGAAATATTACTCTATAGTCAGATCAGGTAATTGTTTTATTTGCCTTTATACTTTCATAACTTCAATTCTAACACTTGACAATGAAGTGTAAGAATTTTCTTATAATCACACTTGTGATGGATCTTTGCAATTTCTAACAAATATGATTAATTTTTGGTGCCATAAATAAACCTCAGCATGAATACATATACTTTAACTCAGGAGTGTTTTTGTTTTCTTTCCCTAGTTCAAACTATGTTTTAACTGATGAGCAATCACTTTGGATTGAAGATACTACAAAATCAGTCTACCAAGTAAGTCCAACATGCAACAAACCCATGATTGAAAAAATGGAAATTTAGAATTTTCTTTGTTTCAGCCCCAAATAGGAAAATAAGGATAAAGTTAAGCTCAGGTACAAGAACACAAACACTTCTTGGTGCTCTGCCTACAAACCACTCCTTTGATGCAGAAAGTTGTTGAAAGCTTAGTATATTCTTTCTAATCACAGCTGCTATCTGAAAACCCCCCCGATGGAGAAAGATTTTCAAAGATGGTAGAGGTATGTATTTGATCACTAGTTTTCTTAGTACCAAACATAATTCGAAAATATTCTTTTACACAGATGAAATGTCTTTTGTTTATCCTAGCATATATTAAACACTGAAGAGAATTGGAACTCGTGGAAAAATGAAGGCTGCCCAAGTTTTGTGAAGGAAAGGTAAATGATACTCATCACAAGAGACAGGAAAAGGACATTTCAAAGTACAGTTTGATGTAGTTAAGTTCTCAGAGTTCTGTCTGTCAAGTGGTTTGTCGTACTGTGAAACTTTCACATTTTAGGACAAAACCAATAAGTAGCTCTCTTGGTTTTTCTGAGATTTTATTTGTTTTGCTGGGCTTGTGCACATTAGGGAACAGCTTATGACAGATACACTCCCCCATTTCTGCTGTCCACATAGTTCCTAGAATATGTGTGTTTTGTTCACAGAGCATCATCAGACACCAAGCCCACAAGAGTGGTACGGAAGAGAGCAGCCCCAGAAGACTTCTTAGGCAAAGGGCCCAACAAGAAAATCTTGATTGGAAAGTATGTCCATTCATCTTCCTATATCCTTGCTACTTTTGATACATATATTTTGATACTATAAGGACTCTCCGGGTGGGCTGAGGAGAGCCTCGGCCGTTAAAGGCTAGGCTCACAACCAGAAAGACAAGAATTCCACTTTTTTCACATGTACAGGTGTCATGAATTTGTATGCAAACGGGTGACTAAAGCTAACCATACCCATTGCTCAAAACTGCCATCATGTGAATTCATGCAACCACTAAAGCCATCCCTTTGTCTCCCACTTCCACAGCACTTGGCTCTGGGCTCTGCCATCTTTTCCGTGTCATGGGCAGTACAACTTCTAGCTACTAAGAGGACACTAATCTTTCAGTGCTGTGACCATCCCCAAATCCACTACTTACATTATATATGCAGTTTTACAATGTACTGAGGGTGTCGTGCGTATGAAATTATGTCTGCCTTCTTTTGTAGTGAGGAGCTAACAAGGCTTTGGAATCTCTGTCCTGATAATATGGAAGCCTGTAAATCAGAGACAAGGCAAGTGTAAAACTTTTGTTAGTTTTCTCATTGTTCAATAAATTAAAATGGAACCTTTTCTTAGCTGTGATCACAGCTGAAAAGTTTTAAAAGTTCATTATGGCTGGCTTTGGGCCTGGCAGAATATGGTTTGGCTTAAAACACCTAGATATGCAGCTAAAATTTTAGCACTCACAAGAAAATAAGTTTTATCAAAAAGAAAGGAAAGAAGGAAGAAAGAAAACTCAAAAGGAGGAAGGAAGGAGGGAGGGAAGGGAAGGAAGGAAGGAGGGTAGGAAGGAAGGAAAGAAGGAGGGAAGGAAGGAAAGAAGGAGGGAAGGAAGGAAGGAGGAAAGGAAGGAAGGAGGAAGGGAGGAGAAAACTCGACACCAAAAGAGTGGCTTTGGTTTGGTATTCCAAGCTAAAGCAAGCAGTGAGGTGGCCCAGGCTGAGCCCTGAGGGAACTAACCCTGAGGGAACTCTGGGAGTTCGTCCTCACAGAGATGCGGAAGATAGCCTGAGCCTGAGCATGATGTCCCTGACCTAAGCAGAGACAGACACTGCCTGCAAAGGAAGGGAAGAGGGCAGGAGACAAGAACAAGACATACTTCCCTGGCATTGGAAACCAGAGAGTGTCTATTTCTGCTAGGTAGGGTATTTGTGGATGGAAAAGGGATTTCCATTTCTAGTACCAAATATATGATGTGAAAAATGAAAGGTGTAAAAAGAAAAAGGAGCCTACAAAAGAGTAAAGTTAAACAACAGTAGACTTCAAAAACAAAGGAAGTCCAGAAAACAGTGGAATGAGAGCCTCAAAGAGCTGAGATGGAATTAAGTATGTTGAATAACATATATAATGACTAAACTAAATGTAAACGGGGGAAAACCATAAAACAGGTACAGAAGGGAAAGGCAAAGAAGCATCAAGTATTAAAAATCACAGTACAGTTTAAATTCAGATAAACAGATGCCCAGCTTCCTGGTGCAAAAGGCAGTTGATGGTTAACTTTAAAACTTTATATTATAAAACAAAGATGAAAATGTTGAAACAAGAAAAATAAAGTTGTGATAGACAGAACTTAGAATGAGTCTTCACAGAAGAAAGCATTATTAAAAATGTAGTCATTACATAAAAGGAAAAAATGCATCAGAAACACATATTTACCTGAGCTTTATTTCCTAAGAAATAATCTCAAAACTTCTGACAGATTTTAGAGAACTTGGCCAGTGCATGATCATAGAAGAATTCTGGCATGGCTTATTAGTTTAGGTTCAGTTAATTGTTCTATAAATAAAAATAATACTAGTAGATAAGTCCCTATTTGCTGGTGAATTTCAAGTGCTATTCAACTTCTGCTCACTCTCATACAGCAGCATATTTGTTATGAGAAGAGTAAGTAGTCTATGATAATGTACGGTGGCTGAACTATGGAGCGAATAGTTTTCAGACCTACACCTTGTTTATTGTTCCATTTTAGAATTTAGCTTTGAGTCTTCATCTTAAAGAGGGCCTGCATCCAGGTCCTCGCTGTAATTAACACATGTGGATACCGTTAAGGTTCATATTGCCACCATTTTAGAGTATTACAGACGAACCTCACTGTCTTCTTTAATGACCAGAGAATACATGCCAACTTTGGAGGAGTTCTTTGAAGAAGCCATTGAACAAGCAGATCCTGAAAACATGGTTGAAAGTGAATATAAGTAAGTAATGCTCTAATGAACCGATGCTAATTTTCAGCATGTTTTCTTAGGAGTCCTCTGTGTGTTGTTAGTTTATTAGTTAGCGGTAGTGCTTTTAGGTGTTTACGCACACGTTCACATTACTGTAATATCCTTCTGACTCTAATATGACTGCAATAAGTTTCAAGTTGAACTCTCACCTCCCTTGTTCACAGTGGCCTCTCCTGCCAGCCAGTTTGCCTCCCCCACCTCCCACTGCCAATCGTCCCACTGAAGTAGTTCCACAGGACTCTCCTCTTAGCTCTTAACAGCATCTGGCAGGAGACCTGCCTTGTCACAGTCGGCCTTCTTCCTTGCTGCCCCTCCACCTGCCTGCACACCTGTTGCCTTACCCTACATTTCGCCATCTTTTATCTAAAGAGTTCCATGTGACAGTAGTTTTAATTTTTAGGTAGGTATTTTGGAGTTGTGATTTAAAGGCACAGCCCTGTCAGAGTGTGTAGGTTCCCATCCCCTTTGCCACCTAATGGCAGATGTCTAGTTCAAACCAATACTCCCTGTGCCTTTTCTCGTTTGCTAAGGAATAGCCACTCATTTCACAGGGTTATGCCAAAGATGAAATGGTTCGTTTTGATCCATATATAGCATGTAGCAGGTATATGATATAAATGACTGGTTTTGACCCCATGATAAGGTTTTACATGTTTGAGTGTGTTCTAGTCTCCATGCACCAGAGAATGATCTTTAAAATATATACAGAGTAGAAAAATGTCTCAGAGGTTAAGAGCGCTGGCTGTTGTTCCAGGACCCAGGTTTGATTCCCAGCACCCACATGGTGGCTCACAACCATCTTTAACTCCTGTCCCAGATGCAGAGTCTAAAATGACATCTTCTGCCTCCTTTGGAATACACATATAATAATGCAGGCAAAACACTCATTCATAATAAAAAGTCTAAATTATATAAGATAAATGACTAGATAGTGTAGGGCATGGTTAGACACACTTTCATCCCAGCACTCAGAAGGTAGAATCTGAGTTTGAGGTCAGCTTAGTCTACATGGTAAGACCTTGCCTAATAGTACATACATACACACACAAAAGGCAGGCATGGTAACACATACCTACATACATACATATACATGCACACACAAAAAGGGTAGGCATGGTAGCATATACCTAAATATATACCTATATATCAATACACAAAGGGCGGACATGGTAGCACATACCTATAATCCCAGCATCAGGAGGGATGTTATTCTGGCTTTTGGAGTAAGATCCTATCAGTAAAATACGCACAAGTCTCATCTCATGCTTATAATTAAATGTATATCACAGTTAATAAGAGACCACCAAATAAAACACATTGCAGATCTGTGCATTTGGGGATTGCAGGATGAACAAGAACCTAACACATGCCTAAATAGAAGACACTTGTGCTTCCTGCAGTTTTATCTTTTGGGGAGCATTTGTCCTTAGCATCTCTCATAGGTCCTTTTTCCTCACCTTCTGATTCTTAACATCAGTGTGTCACTACTGTGGTTACTGGATATTTGCTGTTAACACAACTCTAAATACAGGTCCCTTATTGGAAACACTTGAGGCTGTGTTTTCAGATTTTTTTCTTCCATATTTGGACCATTTTACCTAAACAGGTAAACATTTAAGACAAGTTAAACACTTCAAGTTTTACATTAGAGATTTTCAACTTGTATTATTTACATTAACATGATAAACTCAAATTTATGAAATATTCTAAACTCACATATCTGTAGGTAGCAATGCAGATATGAGTACCAACTCACCAAGTATCTTCTCTGTATAATTGGATGAATGGTGTCTATGTATAGTATTACTATACATAGGAGTTGGGACAGAGACCATTGACTTGCTAAAATAAGCAAAATATATACTTTCAAATTAAAATATGGTACCTTGAGCTGTTATTTGCAGTAGAGTACAAAATGTCATGTGACTTGTGTGACATGGAACAACTATGGAAGTTGATAACTATGAATTACAAGGCTGACAATTCCTATTATAGAGCTGTGAACAATTCAAATTATGGGTGGAGAGCTCTCAGACTCTTAGCACGAAGAAGCCCTCACTTCTTCCAGCCAACCAATCAGCAGTTTAAGAGTCTGCCAGAGTACCTGGAGAACATGGTAATAAAGCTAGCCAAGGAACTACCAGTAAGTGACATCTCATTTTCCCCCATTTCCTTTAGTAGACATTATCAGTACTTGAACAGAAATCAATTTTTAGCTTACTGCACAAAAGTAGTAATGGGCGGGGGGCAGGGCAGGGGGTATTGTTGAACATTCGCTTAGGGAGAAAATGTGAACCAAGAGTGGTAATTTTCTGTGTGGCATGCAATTTATAAACATGTTAAAAACCTACTACCTGTGGCAAACTAGATCAGTTTTTGCTCTTACCAAATGGGTTTTACTATATTTGTCAAGGGCAGGGTCTAGGATTGGCAGTAGAGTACCTGGCAGAACTTTCCAATGTTTTCTTACAGTATGGTAACAGTAGACATGGTCAATCCCTGTTGCCCCTTAGACAGTACTGAAGCCTAGGTGTTTACAAACCTTCTTGTTCATGCTTCTATCTTCCTTCTGCCCAAAATGATGGGGTAGAGGGAGTTCCCTTACCTTCTAATTACATATCTAAACAGAACTATTTCCTGTTATCTTCAGAAACTAGTGTTCTTTTAAACATCATTGTTTCTCATTTACTATAGCCTCCTTCTGAAGAAATAAAAACAGGTGAAGATGAAGATGAGGAAGATAATGATGCTTTACTGAAGGAAAATGAAAGTAAGAACTGAATTTTCTTTGCTATTTTACAAAACTGGCAAAGATTAGGGTTCTTTGTTAAGAGGTGCATTATATAATTTGGTCTACTTCTCAACTTGTACCATTTTATCTCAGGTCTACTTTTGACTTACAGTGAGAAATTAAAACCTTTAGTCACTTCAAATACATTTTGTATAATGAAATTTGGAAATTATAATTTTAAAAGCTAAAAATGATGGATGTTTTAAGGCAGAGTCTTGAACTCTGTTAATTAGTTGGGGCTAAGGGAACTTCTCTATAGGAAAATCTTTCACAGCTTTGAGTGTTGCCTGAATTGTGTGTGTGTGTTTTTAAGGAGGTATGTAACCTATGTAGAATTAAGTTTTAAAGTAAAGCTTAAGGTGACTAATAAGTAATCCAGTGTTTTTGTTTTTGTTCTTTAAGCTTTGCAGTTCTTTCAAATACTTAGAATGTATTTCGCACATAATTTATATCCTCTTGCCTTCTAGGCCCAGATGTCCGGCGAGATAAACCTATAACAGGGGAACAGATAGAGTTATTTGCCAACAAACTTGGTGAGCAATGGAAGATTTTGGCTCCTTACTTGGAGATTAAAGACTCTGAAATTAGGCAGATTGAGTGTGACAGTGAAGACACGAAGATGAGGGCCAAGCAGCTCCTTGTTGCCTGGCACGATCAAGAAGGAGCTCATGCAACGGCGGACAACCTCATCAGCGCACTAAACAAGTCTGGATTAAGTGACCTTGCAGAAAGCCTAACTAATGACACCGAGACAAATAGTTAGCTTTCTTTCTTTTCTTTCTTTTTTATTAAACTGTGATAAGATTTTGTTACCAAGCGGCATTTGATAAGAGGTCCACTGGTTTTGGTAAACAATAAACACTTTTATAACAGCTGTTGCACAGTCGGGTAGTGCTTCAAGAACTACAGAACAGGCACTGTTTCAAACCTCAGTTTGGGGTATAGGAAGCTGGGGTGGGAAAATGGCCGAAGTAAAATGACCTCAGTATCACAGACTACTTTTTATAAGTATGTTTATAATGAAGTTAAATAAGCATTATTTATAAGTATGTTGCATTCCTATCCTAAATTAGTTTTCTGCATGCTGTTTATTATAAAATTTATTCTGAAATCCCAAAATGACATTTCTAAACCTTAAAGCTGTTCTCACTCTCAAGCTATAAAGGGTCATCTGCCATGCTCACACTACAGCACCCAAGAGTTCAAACTGGCAAGCCAATACAGAAAATGTTTGTCAGCCTCTACCTTTAAATGAGATGGCATCTAAAACCCATTTACTCCACCAGCTTTACAAAAATCACTTGACCTCAAGTCATGTGCAGTACTGGCTAAAAGCTAGACCATCACCTAGTCTGTTCCCACACAGCATCTGTGGGTGCTAAGATTGGGCTACTGGCACAGACCACTCACTCACTGTAAGCACTCTTGCTTGGACCTCACTCCACTGGCTGGAAGCAATGACCGAACACAGCTCTAGCTCCCAAAGGTCCTCTGTATACATTAAGCAAATTAAGGCACATTCAGGGATTAGAAGGGAGGGGATTGGTTTTTGGCCTCATATCCCTTACATTCAAGGCTGCATTCTAAAAGTCATAAGTCCTCCTTATTTAAAACACTGGTAGAAATCTAATTTCTGCTTTAAAGAGTATCTTTGGAATGCCTTTTTAGAGCAAAGAAACTATAACCAAGCTTTTTATAATGACAGGTCTTAAATTTCTAATACAGTCTAAACATGATTTTTACATCTTTGTTCTAAACCCCTTCACCTGGTTTAGTAGGAAAACTCAGGTGATGGATCCTTCTATAACTGTTGTAGCAAATGATACTGAGTGAAGGACTCCATCCCAGGGCCATGACATAAACCATTACAGTCCACAGTGGTATTAATCCTCATTCCATTTTTCACTCCCCCATTGTGCAAACTATTTACAGGAATATCCCTGAAATGCTGACTTATCCCACAGTGTTACATATTTTTTATTCTATAGGAATCTTAAGTAGCAATATACAGAGCATTAAAATATATGGTCTAAGATGTCATGATGCACCCAACTTTATTAATCAATACCCAACTCAAATCAGACCAATTAGGTAATATCCAATCCTTCGTCCTTAGCAATCAATCAAGGTTTCTGACCCACCTGAAGATTTATGAGCAACTTACTAATCAGAATAATGAACTAATCTTCCTCAAATATTCTTGGTAATATATACCTCAATTTTAAAAGTCACAAATAGTAAATTTAGAGATGGACATACAGACTTTGGGAAAGAAAGTAGAAATAATAAATGAGTATGGGAATAAAACTGATCATTGAATTCAGTGTCCAAAGAAAAATATCCTTCTTACAACTTTGTATTTCTTTTGAAATAACACTACACAAACTAAGAAGACACATTGTATTTTAAATGGATGATGCTTAACAGTTTAAGCTTATTAGCAATCTGCACAGACTGTATAGTACTGAATTAATCTAACTCTTCAGCCAACCTCTAACACTAAAAAGACAGGTCGAAATTTGTTAATCCCTCTTTTTCCTTTTTTTTTTTATTATTAAATATCTTCATTTTCTAAAAATAACCAGGGCTTGACATGATTACTACAAAACCAATGCAAAGTATATAGTACATTGGAGACACAATAAGTGTATAATCAAATGTATTCTTATTGATCACAATTTATTGTAAAGTCATGAAAGGCCAGCAACAGTCAGTCTGGACAAATACTTGATTGCACCCAGTTGATGGGATGTGGACAGCAGCACTGAGTTACACGATGAGAGCAACACTTCCTTTTCCACCTTCCTAGAAAAATATTCGTTAGATAAGGCAAAGGACAGGCAGCTACTGAATGGTGATATTAACCATGCAAGAACAAGTAGGTGTGCAATAAACATCATTACTAAATCTTGAGCTGGAAGGGTAAGGGGGGGGGGGAGAAGATTGGACTTCAGCTAGGAATCTGTAAGAATTAATGCATGAAATAAGCTTTTAAAGAATGTCTTCCAGCTACCTTTATACAGGGTAGCACCCAAACACAATTTTCTTTAGTCTTAAGGTTGATGATGCACAAGTGGCCTGGTTCTGTTCTCCTTTGTTCCCTTTAGAGCTCAAGATTATAGAAATGGTCAACAACAACAACAACAAAAAGCCATTTATTTCACACCTATGCATAAATAGCTAAATTGAAGATTACTGTTCACTTTCTTCTTCCATTATTTCAACTCTTCGAGGCCCATAAAGTAAAACGTAAGCAATGTGCCAGTCGCCACCACCAGACAGTCGCAGGATATCTTCTGGTGTTACAATGCTGACCTTATCATCGTCAAACTTGATCCATTCATCTAAGTTAAGAGGATAGTAAACAATTATTTTAGAGTTCTATTTACAAAAGAAACTTACTTGATGTACAGCAGTACTCCACCTGACTACCAACAGCTCTCCAAGTGTAGCAAGAGTACCAATGACATCCCAGCTATTTCAACACTACTTCTAATGCGTGCTCTGCCTTCTACCCTCATTGCCTCCAGTGCACCCTGCAGTTCTCCAGAAGCTTCATGATGTGTGCCAGTGCAACTCTGAGCAAAAAACAAGATTAAGAAAGGGACTAGGGCTGTAGCTCATAGCACAGCACTTACTCGCATATGCAAGGTATCTTTGTTGTTTGATCCCAACATCAAAACAAGCAAAAACACTCAAATACAAGAATCCAGCCATACCAATCTGGACAAGAGGAAGACAATGTAAAACCACAGCACTTCATGATATTTTTGCTTGGGCAATATTTTTAAGCTAACTTTCTCAGCTGTATCTGCTGGTGTTATAAATTTGAAAATAAAAGATAAAGTCTGAGGGCCTTGAGAACATAGAGAAGAAAGGGATTTACTCTGAAGTACCTGACAGACTAGAGCCTGAGTTTTGATCCCCAGGCAAGAGCTGTGCATAGCCATTCCGTCTACAGCCCTAGTGCTGAGTCTAGCTCAATCTAGCTCTAGGCTTCAATGAAATTGTCAAGACAGTGGTAACGAAGACACCCAACATAGACCTCTCGCCTATACACAAATACCCAACACCTGCATATAAACTATGGGCAATTATTTTTCATTTTAATTTTCAAAAAGCATGAAGAAATTCATAGATAAAAGCACCCACAATGCTATGAAGTTTGCAATAATAAAGTAGTAGTTAACTGTAACAATACTCTTTACCTTGTTTCCTCTTCACCCATGATACATAATGACCTGAAGAACTAGATCTTCCCTGGTGAGTTAGCACTGCTTGTAAGTCATAGTATCCACAATTATTGGAGCCAATATCTTAAAGAGAATGGAAATGAATTAAAACAACAACAGACAAGTGCTCTCAAAGTAACATTCATGAAGTTAGGATTGGAGAACTACTGTCCTACTAGACTCCATAAATATCACTGTGCAGAGCTACAATTAAGTTCACTACCCATAACTATACATCCAAATGTACTAGTTAAGTTACTTTAAGGGAAATTATTTTTCAAGAAGCCTGAATTTAGGCCAGGCAATGGTGGCTCATGTCTATCACACTAATACTTGGGAAGCTAAGACAAGTGAATAACCACCCTTAGTTAGCTACATAGTGAATTCCAAGCGGTCCTGGACTATAAAGAGGCTTTCTCAAAAACAAAACCTTACATTTTTAAAAGAAAAAGCATGGTATCTGAATTTAAATGTGTATACAATAGAAATGAGACACCCACTTACCATCAGCAAATGAAAAGGGCTCATACTTAACCTCTTTTGGGGGACTATTCTTCTTGTCATTCTAAGAGGGAAAAGATTTAATTTTAAATTGTGATATTGCAAACGAACACATTCTTGTTGTTAGTCCTTACCTATATAAATAGTTATAACGTCTACAAATCACTGAACCAATGGTCTGCCTTGCAGAATATTTTAATGATAACTACACTAACCATAAAAACTGCAAAGCCAAAGGCTCTACTCTTTAACAATACACAATATTATCACAGTAAATAACAATCTCCCTGAATATGTTGCTAATGTAAGCCACTAACTAAATTTTAACATACCAGAGGATTTAGGGTTGTGTCTGTGAACCTGCAGGGGCTACCTCAAAAACAAACCAAAAAAAGGCAACCAAAACAAAAGAAACTGAGTCAAGTTTCTGTAATAGAAGCCATGCCCATTTCATTTTAGCTGAATGAACAAAGACCTACATTAGAAGTAGTAGGATTAACTACATGGACAAGAAACTTTAGTAGGAACTCCCTGCCTCAACTCATCTTACTAATAGGGAAAAATTAAATAGGCCTCAAAAATAACAGAAAATGGGAAACTCAACAAAACGGGGCCAGTCTTTGAAATGATCAATAAAACTGAGAACCATCAAGAAGAAAAGAGACAAATTACAATTATCAGTAAAGAAATGGGCTAGATTTGCCCTATAGACATGAACCAGCTAACAAAAACAGCAGGACCTGCTAAATGAAATCGATCGATTCTGGAACAAAAACAAATGTAACACGAATGAAGTAGATCACTTGAGTAACCCTGGACCTGACCCTGAAGTTTGAGGAAACTGAGTCAAAACTCAGAAGTCTCCAGACATTGGTCATTTCCACAATTATATATATTAAAAAAAAAAAATCTACACAGTCTAAACAATAACAGAAAGGACAAATGTACTTCAGGATGTAAAATAAACATACAAAGGTTTCGACAAAGCAAGCAATACCATTCCCAGAAGTGTTAAAAAGAACCAAGTTGGAGATCACAAATCCAGTCCTTATAAGGTAATTCATCAGTTATGACTTTGTGGCAAATGCCTGTAATCCCAGCACTTTGGAGGTATAGAGGCAGGAAAATTAGGAGTTCAA